GACTCGCGTTTGTGGACAAGGTGTGGTTTCTCGCTCGGGTTAGGTGGGGAAGCACCAGGTCTCTTGTTGTGGTGATCTATCCTACCGATCGGTCGTGTGATCTTCGGGCTGGCATAGGAGGAATGAAAATATTCAAGGGTTGATAACACTGGGCCGACGTTTGACTCGTCTAAGATACACGCACTATTTTTTAAGCGGGTACTCGCACAAATCTTCTGGCAGGCGTGAGACGGAAGTTTGCTTGGAAGAAATTCACTCGTGTTCAACCAACCGAAGGCCATAGACGCCAGCCTACAGGAATGACGGCAACTCTCAAGCAATTAACGGTTCACAAAAAAGTGACCTGTCTATACCATTTTAAGTTAGACTTGAGAAACTATAATTTTCATTTGCAAACCGTCATTGGGAATTGAGAAATCCTAATTTGGAATTGAGAAAGAATCGCTGTGGTTGGCTGAGACATACAACAGCATCATTTTCATGAACCCCTTTCAATCAGCCATTAGTTTCATTCCTACATGGTCTCAGAATGGTATAGATTATCAAACTGCTCATTCTTCGATAAACCCATAGAGCTGAACCAAACAGAACCTAATCCATTCGTTTGAAGAAAAACGAGATATTTTCAAAGTGAACAGCGGATACTCATTGTCAGGAACTGCAGTACGAATGTCAACCGAAAGGCGGAGGAAGGAGAAAGACTAAATATCAGCCGCCACTACGCCATCGATGTTCTTAAGTGTGAGAACGAATTGACAGTGGAAGACCTAATGTCATTAAGACACGTGAACTGACATCAGTCGGTGAAATAGTTTTGCATCCAATTCAGCAGATGTAGCTCAGAAGTCTTGAATAGTACGAACCATGGAGTATTAGGCCGAGAATTTCCCTTTTCTTCCTCTGGTATTGAAGTGATGCGGACATTACACCATGCATCAGATAGTCTACCTGATTGACCTTATCAACAAATCCAATATCAAAAATGTTGATTCTCATTTCCGTCGACTTATCTTACAATTCTGTCGGAAGATTAAAAGGTTTATCATTAGAGTCCACACAGTAGTCATTAATTTTATGCTCAGTCGGCTTGGTAACCGCAACCCTGTGAAAAGAATGTCCACTATATCTTAATGTCATTTGTCGATATTTCTTACGCAACAATACTTATTCTGAAAATGAGCAACCTTTTTTACCAAACAGGTCGATTGCGTTCTGTTTCGTTCAGTTCTGTGGGCTCAGCCAGGAATGGGTGAGCTACACTTAAGTTGTAACTGGTTTTGGTTGCTAGGCCATTGATGATAGCCATCCCAATCACCCAAGTTCACCTCAAGAACTCCAACCTGTCACTAAACGACTATGGTTATTCGAATAGATCTATGATTTCCATTTCGCCTGTTCGCCGAGCTTGGCAATTTGTTTGCAAACGTTTCATCACCACCCGAGGTGACATCATCAGTGCTTATGAAGTGGCAGTGTTCTGTCTGTACCCGTTCGTTTGTATATGCGTTCTTCTCCATCGGCTATTTTCGTCCCCTGTTCTCGCTGTGTTCGACTCGGTCCGCCGTTG